TGTATCATACTCGTTATCAAAATTAGCATCGAATATGCAAGTTATGATTACTACAGCAAAATACTGCAAAGTTTAACAATAAGATATAAAAGGTACAGTACTTTCTGTTGCACTACCTGCTGCTGTACTGATTCCTAATGCAGTCGCTCTGTTGGTCAGCCACCATCATGTCGTATTATTAAAGTTATACATATACGAGTACATACTTCACACTAAAATTGTTATGCATGAAGCACTATGATGTTCCAACCGCAAATGACAACGTCTGTACTGAATCATCGGCATTCGCTGCCGATCAATGAAATGCATGATGTGATGAGCTGCTGAATAACATCAGCAAAAATCAAATTCTGGTCGTAGTTGGCGAAACGGGCAGTGGAAAATCAAAGCAGATTACACAGTATTTGGTGGAAGAGTGTTTCACAACGCGCGGAAAGGTTGCATGTACTCAACCGCGGAGGGAGGCTGCTTTGTCACTAGCGGAAAGGGTGGCGGAGGAGCTCAACTCTCACCCGGGGCAAGAGGTCGGATACGAAAAAGGTTACGCTCAGAAAGAACAGCTAATTTTCTTGCTAAAATGTCAAAGATATACAAATTTTAAGAAAACAGCAACGTAAAACCTTTCTTTCTTTAACAAGTGAAGACATAATCTTTACAAAGTTTTACATAATTTAACAGGTACCGTAAATTTTCTGTAAATGGGTACACTGTCCGCTTTAGGACTGCACAAGCAGGGAAACAGTCATAAAGCGACAGGACGGCGATACCTTACTGCGAGAATGCCTTTTGGATCCTGATTGACTCTTTATGATGTGGTAATGTTGGATCAGGCTCATGAGCGAACTCTGCACACCGACGTCTTTCTTAGACTGATAAAAGCGGCCCATGAAATGCGCCCCGCTATCAGATGTACTGTAACATCGGCCACCCTGGACGTCCAGAAATTCAGCGAATACTTCGACAACGCGCCCGCCTTCCTTATTCCCCTTCCTTATTCAAAAATTTTATTTAAAGGAGTATAACTATACGATTTATATAATTGTATTTATTAGCTGTCGTGTTATTTGAGATCTTCGTTTACAGAGTATGCCGAGATACTCGGGTGGCCAACCGCGCTTCCATACAAGGTCCTGGACGAGAAGGTGGTTGCAGGGCACAAACTTCTTAAAATCACACACGTTGGTGTAAGACAGTGCCTTCACTCGTATGTCCCTGAGCGCTATTTCCTGTTCCGAATTGGTGCAATTAATAATTTTACTGCCATGAATAACAGCGAGAACACCCTTACCATTTACGGGATTAAATATGTCGTCGATCCAGGTTTTGTTACGCAAGAGGTCTACAGTTAGAAAACGGGTACTCCTGCGAGTAATAGTTTTGAGTTTTAACCGCCTTCAATAGTCCTTCAGGTAAGATCTGTTAGAAGACCATTGCTTAAAGGTTTTCCGCTTATTAATCTTAAATTTATGCAGTTGGAAGAAATTTGTAGAAATGAGTAGTTTGCCCTGAGAAGTGCGATTGCGGAATACGAAAAAAACTTTAAGCGGGCGGTTACTACGATCATTGAGTAACCGACGACAAGACAATCGAGTTTGGTACCGGAAGGCGGAAGGCTAAAATCGGACTTGGGAAAGCAGATGACTATGCACAAATACTACACACAAATTCCCAGTTTGCATACTTGTACCAATGCTTTAGGCACGCTTACTGGAGTTAAATCGAATGCTATGAAAACGCTATGTTTTTCTCAGGGGATGCTTAAGCTTTACCACGCAAAATGCGTCAGCAACAGTTCAATACGTTGCCTCCACCATTCTGCAGGCCAAGTAGCCATTCATTTGTACCACTAATTATTTCATTCGCTTATATTCGATTTCAGTTCCGACTAGACTTGTTTGTTACTGCCGGCCACTTCGCACAATAATATGCAAGTTGCACTGTACACAATACACAAATGACGTACGAGGAGGAGTAAAGCATCTTCGAACTTCGGTAGCGCGTTCGAATGTCAAGGCTCTTTGAACACTGTGCGTTGAGTGTGCAACAGCATGATTCATTTAACAGCGAACTGCGGAAGGCTGGCAGTCCACATTTAACTTGGCCACTATCAATCATAGCACTCATCCACGGGTGACGGTCACGTTGCACGTAGATGGGCAACCTTCCACGGTTGGCTGTTAAGAGAATCATGCCGCCGCACAATCAACGCACAGTATTCAAAGGGTCTTGACATTCGAACGCGCTACCGAAGATGCTTTACTCCTCCTCGTATGACCTTGCTAAAAACTGTCATCGGACTGAACGGAACTCACTTTGCCTTTGAAACCTTAAAACCTTGGAGACATTACACTTTCGGTAGCGCCAACTTCCGGTGGCGCATAACCAAAGAGCTTCAACGGTCATCGGATTGGGTGTTTAATTAGCACTGTTTAATAATCGACAAATTTAGTATGATTGGGTGTACCCGTACGCTATTTGCAGAAAAGGACAAACCCTGCCAGATAAGCGAAACCAGGGTATTCGGACATACATTCCGGCGGTATAATTGTGTACCTGTTTGGTAATATCAACCAGTTGCCTCCTTCACTTGATCGACTATACTAAGGCGACGGTTTTGCTGGAGACTTTGCGGACTACGGCCAAGCGATTTGTCGTACAGCTTTCAGTAAATGCTTATCCTGCAGACCTTCCACCCGCAAAGCGGGATTCATATTGATTAGAAACACCTACGAATGCATTGGACCGGATCAGCACTGGAGATTCAACAGAAAGAGACCATAATAAAATGACCACGAGAGTTTACTTGCTTTTGCCGACTGAGAAACAGATCCATACTTCTGTCCGACGCGCGCTGCATGTTTTTGCAGAAAACGAGCCAGCCTATGATTTAGAATAAAAGCGCTCTCCTTGAGTTAAATAAGCCAGTGGAAAAGACACGGGCAGAACAAAACGGGACCACTGTGGCAACAAATGTGTTGTGGACGACTACCACAAAACAAATAGTTTACATCAGTGGTACGTAATAAATGCTATTTGAACGAGTGAAGAACAAGCGATGGGACTTCAGCCAGCACTTCATTTGTCAAGACGAAGCAGCGTCATGCGGGAATGCGGCTTTAGGGTGTGTGCGGGTATAGTTTATGAGCCGGGTACTTCGCCGTCAGATTCGTTTCCTAACACAATACTGGTGGGATTTGACAAGTACACCGGACCCACATTTCCTAACAACTGCGTACCTACAGCCCCAATTGTCACAAAATGGACGGAAAATTCGGAAAATTGCATTAGGACCCAGTTTCCGTTAACGTTAGCATGGGCCAATAAAATACATAAAGGCCAAGAAATAACTTACGAGAAAGCAGTTGTCCATATTGGTGAACGAGAATTCGCATCCGGCCCTATCCTCGTCGGCTTTTCCCGTGTGAAAACGTGGAGTGGAATCGATAGAGCCACTGTTTCCGCTGAAGAGCCTTAGTACATTATCCGTATCTCTCAAAGGAGAAGAGAGATGCAGCTTGTACGCCACCTTTTTAATAAAACCATAAATAAAATTAACAATAAAAATTAACAACACCAATAAAATTAATTAAGTTACCGTAGATCTCGAATGTGCAGCACCCTCTAATAAAAAAGGTCACCAAAAAAAAGCTGTTTAAAACGGAAACGGAAAAAGAAAAAAACGGAAACTTTCCAAATGATTGTCTAATCATATTAATCCGCCTACTATCCGCAAAGTACAATTGACTATCACTGCCTGCTCGCGGCAAATTCAGCACCTAATGCAGTTTTCAACGCTATGGCATTATCCAAGAAAAAACTTCTTTATGTACGAGCACTGCTGCATTCTATTAAAACTCGGGAAATAATAAAGCCCACCTAAATTTTCACAAACGAATCTCCGAACTCAGACGAGCTACCCACTTTCTGGGAATCGATTGTTGACCATAAGAGCGGAAGCCGAAGGTGACTTTTGTTACATATACCACAGTTAGTAAAAGCAAGAATTATTCGACATGTCTATACTCTGTGTATACTTAATTATGTTTTTGGCTTCGGCGCTTCGCTTCGGTCTTTAACTGTAGTGCTAGCTAACAGCGGTGCGCTTCACAAGTTTACTGATAATTTAAAGAAACGCAGATAATGTTCCTGCTTACCGCTCTTTCACGAAAGGAAAATCTAAATAAAGTAATACTGACTAACATACAGTAGTACGCATTGATCGATACATACAGTTTGCACCCAGATTCTTGATCACACATGCGTTGCCGTCAAAATGGCTTATCCAAACTCGTGGGTACACATCAACCATGATATGATGATAGAAGCAGCATAGGCGTCCAGCGGCGCGCTCTGCGTTTTGTCACGTCCCATCTGGACTTCCGGACTGTAAATGTTTACGTCATAATAAATTACAAAAAAATCACAATATATAGAAAAATTTCTAATTACCGTATACTTAATACTAACAGAACCACACGTTTTCATAACTCCAACAGTACTTAATGAAATAATTTTTTAAATACAAATTTATCGAAAACAAAACGCTTCGAAAGCGATTCTTTGAACCATTCAGCCAAAACAATAATTCTGGGTAAATACATCAGCCAAAATAAAACCCTGGCAAACAGCACCATGTCACTCGAGTACAAACAAATCACAAGATCGCATCAGTAACCATATTGACATACCGATAATAATTCCATAAGAAATAGTAAAAATTAATTCCAGTGGTGAAAGCACTTCACTTGCAACCAAAGGAAACAATCAAGGCGCACACAATCGTAACGATATCCCAGCCGGACTTGACAATTAAATAACTGGAGAGCGGACCTACATATGCAAACCAATCGTTGATACACGTATTATTATACACGATAATATTAAAATCAAATATTTCTGACACAAATGCAACGCAAAAGAATATGCTAGAAATACGTTAGCCAGCTCACCACCGATCATTTTATCCGATACAGGAAGGAACACATCCTTGCGCTTTGATTAGGGAATATAGGAGACGGAATACCAAATCATGGTCAGGAACTGCTTAGCGGATAAAATAATTATCCAGTCAGATCATGCGATCAGCCTAAGCACAAAAAACGAAGACTAATGTTAACCATCATTATTTTACACGGTGACAACGCGTGTTTTAGACTATTTTTGTAAATTAACAGCACAAAATTAAAGCACGTGCGTTCCATACTAAAGATGATTCCGAACGTGCAGAAAAGCATCGGCAATGTGAATAACAGTGAAGGAATCCATGGGAAACATAAACAAAAAACACTTTGTAACGGAAACACGGTTCACTTACAGATCTTTATAAAATGTCGACGCTGTAGATATATAATTGTTCAGCGGATCCGCACAACATTCAGCAAGGGATACGATGCTGGTTACAGGGGCAGCTTGTACGTTTCATCTGAAATTATTAAATAAAATAAAACGACAAGAATTGCACTTACTTTGATAGTCGATAAATAACCAACACAAATAATATTTCTAAGAGAATTTGGCAACTGCAAATCAATGACAATTTCAACAGAAAGTAATTCGCTATGGTAATATCACATATTTTGTTATAAATACGAATGAGTACTCGGTAAATATTTGCAATCTGCAAGGCCTACCTGCAAGAACGCCAGACCCGTTCTCTCGTCTTTTCTGCTCCCTTGTCCGCCTTCGCGCACGTATCAGTCGAAACCCTTCTAGCCCGCCGTCGTCCCCGCGTCCGCTAGTGGGCTCCGCATCAGCCACAGCCCCGCGTTCGCCACAGGCGAGCTTCCGTCGCTGGCCCCCGCGTTCGTCATTACCCCTGCTTTCGCCACAGCCCCGCGTCCGCTACAGTACTGTTTCCTCCTCCACTGCCCCAACGTCCGTCGCCCCCCCGCGCTCTGCCGTCGCCCCCACGCCCGCCACCACTTCCGTTGCCCACATAGTCCTGACTTCCGGTCCCCCTAACTCCCTCCCCCACCGCCCCTGTACCTACTGCCCCTAGCTGTAACTACTGCCCCTGGATATGTTTTGATTGATTTAACGGATCTTTAACAATAGAGTGAGTAAAGTTTAATCACAAATATTCGGTTAATAAACAAAGCGTTAGTTAAATGTGCTAAAAATTAAAAAAAATGCAAAATCACAAGGAAAGCAATCCAGCTAACGAAAAAAAACATTTTTTATTAAACTGGTAAAAAAATCCTGCCAATTCGGCAGCCTGTTCGTGCATTTCGTCGGTCATCGCGTCCACAAAGGCGCGCAATGGCACGAATTATATATATATATATATATATATATATATATATATATATATATATATATATATATATATAAAATAAAAAAGCTACGTAATTAAAGTACTTACGGTTTCCGCGGCGGGCACATTCCCGCAAGAACTGAATGTCTTGCTCCGCCAGTCCCAGGGCTACGATTTCTTCGGGCAACTCCTTCTGGCCATCATGAACCTCTTCCTCCGCTGGAAGCTCCTCCTGTTCCTGGACTGGAATTTCTTCTGGCAATTCCACCTGTTCTGGCTGCTGGACTGGAATTTCTTCTGGCAATTCCACCTGTTCTGGCTGTTCATCAGGAACGGTGGAAGATACTTCGTTATCAGAAGCGTTTTCCATTCTGTAAAATTGCTAATGATATGTCTATGAGAGGAAACAGTATGAAATGAAAGTCAAATGGTGTGTGTAAGTTAACTTACCATTTTCATCCATGTCAAGTGATAATCAGGCGGACATGATGGAATGTTGTTTTCCTTCATGTCATAGTTCTGATCAGCGTTGTAATGCTGTACTTTAACGTGAACATTTGAGTCAACTAGACGAAAACTAACATTTTTATTTAAAAAACTGGCAACAAATAAAGGTATGTATAAAATTTTTATCACTACTATGACATCATTATATCATTTCGTTATATTCTTGTTTCCTGCTGATAATACAGTGCCCTTGCGAGCGCTCCGTATGATTATGGCTTGACGATTGGCTACACTAACGCAAAGTGGAAAAAGTCCGTCAGGTTCTCTGACAGATTTTTTCCACCTTCGTCCCGGTTCTTCTGAAACCTGCTATTACTCCCTATTCCTTGTTGTCCCTCAAGCGGTTGCCCTCGAAGTAAGTGATATTTAATATGCACTTTATTGTTACGTGGTATGCGAACTACTTTTATGTTACGTTTTTAAGTTTCGAAGTTCAAAAACAACGAGGGGTCGTAGGTGGAAAAAGTTTCTCACCAATCCTGACCAACTTTTTCCACTTGACTAAAAATCAATTTTATTTCATAATTTTGGTTTTATTTCTGTTGTTTAACCTCTTATTGCTATTAGAAACTATTCATCTACTTGTTTTTCGGTCTTCAGCTCAACTAATTGGTCTCACTGACTAATTATTACTTTCTATTTTACAGTTACTGTGGTGCCACGATAAACGTTCGAAAGGTCACCAAGCATTAATGCTCCATTCTACCATTGCGATTCATTGATCTACAGTCCTGTAGGTTTATTTTATTATTATTCCATTAACAATTTGTTACTGAATAATAATATAATATTATTCCATGAATTATAATAGCAATATTCAATGAACTATTTAATACTGTTATTAATATTCTATTGCTATTAATAATACATTATTATTATTACATGATTACAACTACAACTTGTTATTTCTTTTATTATTGTTTATTGTTGTTATAAGTATTCATTAGGGAAGTACTAATATTGCTGTTGTTAATACTTGAACAATTTATTATAAATATTATTTCTGTTGTATATTCAAGTTATATATTTTTGCATTTATATGTGCATCGTATTATAACTTTTGCGCTTTGGTTTTCTGTGAGCTGCACTGAGTTTAAATTAATGCTCATATTTGTTGCAGGCCAATCACAATTGGACAAGTACCAACCCCCGCAAAGCGGTGATATATGCATCTCGGTAATACGCTTTTAATTCACAGAATAACGTTGTCATATGATTTTACTGATACTGTAATACGACTTAAATAGACAAAAAAAAGAATATATTACTCATTTTCCTTAATAATATATTGGATATTTGGTAGGACGTTACAGGGTGGATAGCATTATTATTGCAATGCCCAAGCGTCGAACAATGGCTGATAAAGTCAAGAAGCCGAAACAGGATGCGGAATTGTCTGGGTAAGCTGTTGTTAAGTGTAAAATAATTCCTTCGTGAAACAAAATTATTTTCTTAATGATTTAAATATTTTGCGGTAAACTTTCGAACTATTCTCACCGAATCAACATACGTTTCTTTACGGAAGCGTGATATATTTTTATTGTTAGAATTATATCCGCAGCGATTCGTTATACTTTTCAGTCATTTATTACATTGTAACAATCATAGTTCAAAGAGAGACAAATACTATTTAAGTAAGTTAAAAGTCACAAAGTTCAGGAACTGGAAATTCGCGTAACTGAACACAAAGATGGAGTCATCAAAAAAATCTAAACCTGCGCTAAAGGCACTTGCCGTTATCTGCGTAATAATTTTAATATTAGTAGTGCTTATAGGAGATGTTATTCTGCCTATAGCGGTAGCTGTCATGCAGCAGCACCAAAATTTAAATTACACATCTTCCTCAACGTACCCAAACGGGAGCGTTGAAAGGTCAGGCAAAATCCTGCGCTTGTCATAGGTGAGTCGAAAACGCTTGACTTGATCTACCGCATCGATTTCCAGTGTTCTTTTATTCCTGCGAATAACAGAGGAATAACGCAGCGGGTACACTTGTGGGCCTGGCATCGTCCAGAGGGAAGTGAAGGTGTTTAAATTTAATGTCTTTTTTGTAGAACGGTTTAGCGTGAATCCTTTGACTTTGCAAATGTGTCTGCCTTTGCTGGTGATATAAGCGTAGGACTTGGGGGCGCATACGGTGACCTCTTCAATATATTCCCGGTCATGTAATTCATTCGTTAAATCTCCCATATAATTACCCATTGCAATTTCTGGATCCCCGGGTCGATGGATCCACATCAGGGAATCCGTATCAAAGTATATAAGCCGCCTTCCCACCTGGGCCATGTACGAATACAGATGAAGCCGTGCATGGGCTGTAGTGAACCTAGCAAAAAAAAAATTATTGAATTTTACTGTTGTTAAAAAGCACTCACAAGATAAAGCGCTAAAACTCACGCTGCGAGAATGACATTAGTTTTTGGGTTCGTGGTGATAAAATCTTCTTTCGATTTGTACGAAACCTGTAGTATAGTATCGCTAAAAAATTCAGTGTTATGCGTTTCCAAAGCGTCGTTAAGGAGGATTTCATAAAAATCTTTCGGTTCCGAAATGAATTGAGTCGCCAGCCGGTCTTCACGCATTCCCAACCGGCCCCAGAAGCTGAAATGTTTAAATAAAATAATAATAAAATGACTTTTGTCAGTATTGCATATATTAGACTTACTTATTTAAAAACAGTTTAGCTAAGGCACGGAGGCTAAGGTTTTTCATAACCTTGGCTGGTTCTATTGCGACGCCTTCGCGCACAAAAAATTCTTGAACATAACGCTCCTTATCTTCCTCGGTCTGGACGTTCGACGGCCAACCACTGGCCTCCGTTTTCAGCTTAAGAAAATGCTGAATATATTCAGCAAAAAGGCCTTCCCGTGAATCAGGAAAATGCCAGATTTCATGGACTTTTCTGACAGTATATCCTAAAGCGAGAGCCTTAGAAATCTCCACTGAACACCACACTCCTGTTAACGACCTTTCAGCATCCGTATGTGTGCATGTTGCGTTCTGCTGCGTGTCAGCACAAATTCTGCAGAGAGGAAAGGTTAGCTTTCCCGTTCTGTATGGCAAAACTGGTAGCCAGAGCTGCTTCGGTGGAAGAACAGTGAGGCACATTAGTCCAAAGTAGTTTTCCAAGTTCTGATCAAAATCTTTAATGATGCGAACGTGCGGTCCGACAGGATAGCGCTTTCGTGAATTCACAAATGGATATTCGGAAATTACATCTGCAAACCTGGAAGACAGTTGATTTATATTATTTATAGCTGGTAAATATTTTCTGAACACAGAAATTTATTCTAAATAAAAAATACCGTATCTCTTCTCCTGGGGCACATTTGTAATGAATGCGAGTGCCGTTCGTCCGGCCACCGTACAAGGCATCTCTCGGATGCAGTGGCGGAATTATTTCAATCTCATTAATACCGTATTTAAAATCTTCATCCTCCGTAATGAGCTTATCATATTCAGTTTCCCACATCCGGATAACTGAATAGCCCATCTCCCGTAGTGCTGCTTCTCGCTCCATCGTTGTAGAATACAAATCTTGCATGGTTAATTTTCGTGTCAGGTTTATAAAAGTAGCCTTCGTTGTGCACGGATTGCCGTGCCAGTAATCTCCATAAAATTCGTAGATCAATTCATTTTCTTTGTCAAAACCGTCGACAAAAAATTTTCCAATCTTGTACTCTCTCAACAGCTGTTTCCCCTCAGTATTCTCAATGTAATTAAGCCACTTACTGCATTTAAGAGAGCGCAAGCGCTGATTCGGACTCTTGACAACAGCCAGCAAATCTTTCTCCAAAATCCGCGCTTGCCAAAAGTAGTGGCAAATTCCAGCGATGGTGAGAGCCGAAGTGAACGGGCAGAGCCCGCTGGAAATATCCATAAACAATTTCCTGTATTCTTGTGAACATACGCGCAAGGTGTTTACGTCCTGCTGGCAATATTTTACCAATTCTTCATTAACGTTATATAATCCTTTTTTCTTTCGGCGGTCTTTGCGATAAAATCCTTTAATAAACCTTTTTCTTTCCTTGTTGCTCATCAGGCTGTAATTGAAATCTTCTCTCTTCGGGTAAGCAATAATTTTCCCAAAGTTTTCGGGTCGATTAACTGGATGTGGGAATTTTGCTTTCTGTTCCGCAGCGCCAAATGCCTCAGCCCAGGCGTCCAGTGATTGAGGATTATAATTCAGAGTATCTCTGAATTTAATACCAAAATCGGCAACATCTAGTTGCATTATTTTTGCACCATTCATGATGAGTTTCGGCACAATGCCGTTTTTTAAAAGCCACTTTAGTACGAAGAATCCATCGAAGGCACTCAAATTATGAGCCAAAACGTAGACGTTTCTGTGTAAGCCCGAAAACAGGAATTCACAGAATTCATTTGTTATATCGCGACCAATTTGTGTAATGTCGGATGGAAAAATCCACTCTTCACCCGATTCATCCTGTATTACCGCTAAATTGGGAATGAAATTACCAGTCTCAGGACAGGGAAACGTTTCAAAATCAAAGTATAAAAACTTTGCATTTTCGTGTTTCTCCATGTCTTGCTCAGTCAGAATTTCCGGTTCAATATAGCAGACGTGATCTTGTGGAGCGTGCAATTTACAGATATTACAAAATATTTCTCCGCAGACATGTTCTGTGGAGCGCGACGCCCGTGAAACAAACGACTTACATAACTGGCATATAAAGTAGGTCTGGCAAATTGTGATTCCGTTGCCTGCTGAACCGGCGGTGCGGTGATGGTCCATACAGTTTTCTCCGTTGAATGTACGACAGCAGTCTGGACAGTAGAGTTTTTCGTCACCAGCAGGACAGCAATCAGGCCTCAAGCACTGCTTACAACGATACATACAGCGGTGGCGGTTCTTGTGATCGTATCCTTGATTACATCGATCACACCAGTAGGAAGACTTAAACCATGCTGGTAAGCTTTTCAATACGTCAAAATGATTATTATGGTGAAGAATTCGCAATTTTTTTTCTGCATATTCACCAGCAAAAATAATTGAGTTAAGATGGTCGATGCTTGTAATCAGGATTTGGTAACCGGGTAGCGCCTGTTGAAAAAGGGAAACATCTTCAAGCGTGTATTGTCGCAAGTCCAATCCTGTACCAGCGATGAGCTCTTTGGCCATTTTTGTTTGCAGCGATTTATCGGAAGCAGTACGGAGACCTTTCGTGTGGTACAAACGATTATATAACTGTGTATCTTCATCAGCTAATGCTTTGGCGATTACTAAGGCTCGGGCTAAGCAAAGGTTATCGGAATTACGGACGCGCACAACACTGCTCATCTTCTCCAGTTTTCTGCGCAACAGCAAGGGTATGTCGTATTGACAAGAGCCAGCAGGAAGGTTGGAGTGGTGAATTTCCAGCTCAAACGATTCATCAAGCACAAATTCCTGGTTCGAATTTAACACGCGTGAAACTTCTTTCATCAATCGCTCCACAGTCATCTGATCACGGCGAATGAAAGGTGTATGTATAGGGTACGCCAGATGGCGGTTATGTAGTTTAATGCGACACCTTTCATGATTAGGAATATCAGTTAGGACTTTGTTCAAAATTGCATCCAAAATAGCAGCAATTGTATCAGGGATTTCGGAAAACGGAATATGACTAAGGTGATGTACCTTACACTGAAATCTTTTACAAGTCATCTTGAAATGACGATTATAATAATCGTTTATTGGTTTCAGAACAAAAAAATTTCTTATATGAAAAGGGTCTTCATCAATATTATCATTAACGTCGTTAGCAGCAGCAACATCATCTTCGTCATCAACATGGTTAACAGCATCAGCATTATTATTACCATTACCATGCTCAGCATTATCACCATTAAACACACGTGCCATTTTGATAGACGGGGCAAAAGAAAAATCAGTCTTACAGCAGCAAATCTTTAATTGTGTTGAAATGATTATAGCACTGCTTTATAAAATCCAGCTCGTCCGATTTTATGTCGGCGATATTATTTTTGGAGGTGGTGTCACCGGATTTTATACGCAACACCAACGATGAATCATCGCTGGTAGTGGCGGAACGCTTCTCGTGAACAAAAGTTGCCTGCGTGTTTGTGTGGCTATCAATAACGTACCAGAAAAGTGTTCCCGCATGCGCATTGGCTGTAGAGGTGGAAACAGCTTTGTGGCGGCCTTTCGCAGAG